ATCGTCTAAATTCTTTACCTGTCTTCCTATCTTTGTGTCATCGGCAAATTTACTGATATCACTATTTATTCCTGTCTCTAAGTCATTTATATAAATTATGAATAACAATGGTCCTAGTACTGATCCCTGTGGTACCCCACTAGTGACATTACCCCATTCTGATTTCTTCCCATTAATCTGTACCCTCTGTTCCCTACTAGTAAGCCATCCCCTAATCCATTCTAGTACCTTCCCACCTATGCCGTGAGCCTTAACTTTACTTAACAGTCTCCTATGGGGTACTCTGTCAAAGGCTTTACTGAAGTCCAAATAAACTATATCATACTCGTCCCCCTTATCTATTGTTTCAAATACTTTCCTATAGAAGGATAATAAATTTGTGAGGCATAACTTCCCCTTGCTAAAACCATGTTGACTATGTCTAATTAGCTTGTGTTCATCTAAATGTCTTCTAATTGCCCTTGCTATGATAGCTTCTAACATCTTGCCTACCACTGATGTTAAACTAATTGGGCGGTAGTTACTACTTTCTGCCTTATCTCCTTTCTTGAATATAGGAACTACATTTGCCTGCCTCCATAGCCTAGGTACTACTCCTGTGTCTAGTGATTTTCTAAAAATCATCGCAATAGGTTCAACGAGTTCTTCTCTACATTCCCTAAGAATCCTCGGAAAAATGTCGTCCGGCCCTGGAGATTTAGTCTTTTTAAGTCTATCTATTTCCTTGCTAACTACTTCCCTACTTATGACTATTTCGCTTAATTTATCAACCTCTTGTCCCCTAAAGATCTGTACTGGCTCCAGTTCCCTACCCGACTCTTCCTGAGAAAATACGGACAAGAAGTATTTATTTAATTCCTTACTAATTTCCTCACCATTTTCTATCAAGCTGCCATCCATTCCTTTAAGAGGTCCTATTCTTTCCTTTGTTTTAGCCTTGTACAGCTGATAGAATCCCTTTGGATCCTTCTGGGCATCTCTAGCTATCCTAACCTCATAATTCCTCTTTGCAGTCCTAATATCCTTTTTAACTTTCCTAGCTAGGTCATTATACTGCCCTACTACCTGTACTTCACCTCTTTTAATTCTCCTATAGAGTCACCTTTTTAATCCAATTTCCTTTCTAATGCTGTTATTCATCCATTTTGGATAATTTTTATTTGACCTAATCCTCCTCTTAGCCGCATTTTTATCGTCCACGGCTTCGAAGATTATCTTCGGTAAACCCAAGTCAATCTCAAGTCAATCCTGCCTGGCGCATTTTTGTCGTCCACTTTC